GGTGTGGGACCCGGTGTGCCACCCAGCGTGGGACCCAGCCTGGGACCCGGCGTGCATCTCTGACCAGCTGCAGGTGATGCCGCGGCTGCTGACCACCCTTAGGGGCCGCGCTGGGATCCGAACGAGACCTGATGCCACAGCCTTGCCGGTGCCAGGGTGGAGCCGTAGCTTTTGTACATTAGTTAAGGCATATTCAGTCCTACAATCAGAGACAACAATCCTGTAATTTAAAGAACAGGGAAGGTTAGTGCTGAAATTCCACTCACTAATCATCTCTTTCGGGGTCGAAGATGAAAGGAACAAGCGTGGTGATAGGTTTATCCGGTGCCGGGGGGCTCTGCAGATGGCGCACACACATCGCCCAGGGTCACGGAGGGCGTCTCACGGGTCACTGTCTGCATGCGATTTCCCCGAGCCCACTGGCTACAGAGCTTTCTCCTGCAGGAGAGAGGGCTCCCCTACACACAGAGCATCCCCAGTTTGGAGTCCCAGTGGAAGCTCGCTAAGGTCACAATGAGCCAGTCACATGTCCTGGTTTGGGGGCTTCTGATGGTCTCTTGATGATCCTTCCCAGTCCCCTCCAGGTATGAGCATGTGGGAGCAACACACTATATAGATATCCTATATAATAAAAGGCTAATATGCAAATAGACCGAACGGTGGAACAATCGAACTGAACAACAAGTCGCTATGACGTGTGCTGACCACCAGGGGGCACGCATGGAACATGGCAGGCATCAACCACAGCCGGATGGTGGAGCAGGTGAGTGGGGGCGCCAGACCAAGGCAGGGTGCTGGTCGCTGTCATCAGGGCGAGCCTCTGGTGGTTACTGAAAATTCTTTGCTCCCATGCACTACGGTCCCACCTGGTGCTCGCACCCGCTGCCGACCCCAATCACTCAGTGCCATCAGTCAGCAGGTGTGAGCGGCACCTGCCAGCCCCAATCGCCCCTGAGGGCTTCTCCACCTCCTCCTGCTCCTGAGAGGCAATAGGGGCAGCAGCTGCCACTCGCACCGGCTGATGGCGCCGGCCCCAATCGCTCTGTGCCATCAGCAGGTGGGAGCCGTGTCGTCAGCGGATGGGAGAGGCAGTGGTGGGAACAGGGCAGCCAGCAGACAGGGACCACGGTGGGAGGGGCCAGGCAGGGATGCAGAGGATGGGCTGAGACCCGCCCCTGTGCCCACCACAGCCTCGCGGCCCACAGTTCCTTTCAAGGTGCATGAATTTGTGCACTGGACCCGTAGTGTGTGTGTGTGTGTGTATTTCCAGTGATGTTTGTACAGTTGCTCCTTGAGAGATGTTTTGGTGTGGGACTTAGTAGCTACTTTCTTTTTTTAAATATATTTTTATTGATTTCAAAGAGAAAGGGAGAGGGGGGGAGAGAGAGAAACATCAATGATGAGAGAGAATCATTGATCAACTGCCTGTTGCATACCCCCTACCAGGGATGGATCCCACAACCTGGGCATGTGCCCTGACTGGGAATCGAATCGGGGATTTCTTGGTTCATGGGTTGATGTTCAACCACTGAGCCTCACCGACTGGGCAACAAATGCTGTTTTTAAAGCAGCTGGCTCTGGACCACTCACGTCTCCAGGGCCTTAAGTCAATGATGACAATGACAGCGAACACTAAGTCCTCACCAGGTGCTATGCATTTCCCATAAGTCACACCCCCTGCCTGGAAGGCAGGACTCAGGGCTGTGTCTCACGCTTTCAGGTCACTATTCAGTCCCTTGGCGACCAGAAGACGCAGCCTGCCCCTCTCGGGTATTGCATCATCAGGGAGGGAGGGAGTTGCCAGGGAGACCAGACTCAGCAGACATTCCGGTGAGACTAAGAGTGGGCTTTGGAGTCCGAACACCATGGGCTTTAGTCCCAGGTTTTCTGTTTACAGCTCGGTGCCCTGCAGCTGCGTGATCACGGACTGGGTTTTTGCAAAGAGTTGGTGACATACCCTGTGAAAATCTATGTGTAACGAGAAACACTGAGGCAGGAAATGATGAGAAAATGAAGGTTTTTCTTTTATTATATTTTAAAGATTGAATGAACTCTTAAAAATCTTTATGGAAGAAACCCCTTATTCACAAATGACCTTAATTTCTCTCAGGTCACAATGAATGGATAGGAAACCTGCTTTCTACTCAGTCCTATAAAAACCCCTAAAGTCTTTTGACTAATCTTCTATTGGTTTGTGCACTCAAAGGCAAGGTGAGGATTGTCAGTACTTGTTGGTCACTCACAATTACCAAGAATTAGAAGGGACCTTGCATATCATTTATTTGATACAAACATCCCATTTGACAGATGAGAAGTCTTGCTGCTGAGGGGGCTCGACCCCCAGGGATAATTACAATGACAGTGAACGCCAAGTCCTCACCAGGTGCCATGCATTTTCCATAATTGCCTCATCTTCTCCCCCAACCATGAGATGGACTCCATTATTAGAATCCTCACTCACAGACGAGGAAAGTGAGACTTAAACAGGTGTTGAGCCCAGCCGCTGTGGCTCAGTGGTTGAGCGTTGACCTATGAACCAGGGGGTCCTGATTCCATCCCAGGTCAGGGCACATACCTGGATTGCGGGCTTGATCCTTGGTAGCGGATGTGCAGGAGACAGCTGATTGATGATTCTCTCTCATCATTGATGTTTCTGTATCTCTCCCTCTCCCTTCCTCTCTGAAATTGAAGAAAAAATCCTATATAATAAAAGCCTAATATGCTAAGTGTCTGGTCGTCCGGTCGTCCATTCAAACAATCAAAGTGTAATATGCTAATGATATGCGAAGGCTGCTCAACCACTCGCTATGACATGCACTGACCACCAGGGGGGCAGATAATCGACCAGTCACTATGACCTGCACTGACCACCAGGGGGCAGACACTCTGACTGGTAGGTTAGCTTGCTGCTGGGGTCCGGCCATCAGGACTGAGCAAGATGGGCTGGACACGCCCTGGAGCCCTCCCGTGGTCCCTCCCTGGCTGGCCAACCTCCCGAGTCCCTCCCCGGCCCCGATGGTGCACCTGTGGGGTCCCTTGGCCTGGCCTGCACCTTCTTGCAATCTGGGACCCCTTGGGGAATGTCGGAGAGCTGGTTTCGGCTCAATCCCGCTCAATGCAGGAGCTGCCCCCTGGTGGTCAGTGTGCTCCCACAGGGGGAGCGCCACTCAGCCAGAAGCTGGGCTCAAGGCTGGCGAGCACAGCGGCGGTGGCGGGAGCCTCTCCCACCTCCACGGCAGCACTAAGGATGTCTGACTGACAGCTTGGGCCTAAGCCGTCAGTCGGACATCTCCCTAAGGGTTTCTGGTCTGCGAGAGAGGGTGCAGGCCGGGCCGAGGGCCCCCCCCCCCCACTCCCCTCCCCCCAAGTGCATGAATTTCGTGCTCCGGGTCTCTAGTAAATAAATAATAAAGAGGGTGATGACACTCTCCAGATCTCCAAGGGGTAAGGGGCAGAGCCAGGATTTAAACCCAGAGCCTGCAGTTGTGTCCTCCTCACTGAGCTGCCACCAGTCTTCAGTGTAAGTTGGTGACTAGACACCAGGTCACGACCCGGCGGAGACGTTTCTGACAGCACTGACCGTTCATGGTGTTGTGGCGGTGTGGGTCGAGGAGGTCGAAGTACTCCACCAAGGCCCTCACGTTCCTCATGGACAGCAGGCAGTAGAGCTTGTCCAGGTAGAGGCACCACAGAAATGACCCTGTCTTCAGTTTCATTTTGGAGCTCCTCATGCCCATGGCTCTGGCAACAGGCAACGGAGCAGAGAATGCAGCCTCGGAACTAGAATGTTGGACACCAAGAAGCTCTGGCAGGAGGTCTTCCTCGATAAAACAGTGCAGGAAATACTAGCAGTCAATAAACAATGTCTAGCCAGCCCGGCCGGCGTGGCTCCGTGGCTGAGCATCGACCTATGAACCAGGAGGTCATGGTTCGATTCCCCATCAGGGCACATGCCCGGGTTGCAGGCTCGATCCCCAGTGTGGGGTGTGCAGGAGGCAGCCAATCAATGATTCTCTCTCATCATTGATGTTTCTATCTCTCTCTCCCTCTCCCTTCCTCTCTGAAATCAATAAAAACATATTTTAAAAAGAATAACAAATTATAAGGGCTTCCTCTCAGTTTTCCAGCCCTGCCCTCACCTCCCGTTAACCTGGTTACCCCTCCTTCACTAAAACATGACCAGTTCTAAACGCAAAGCACACCCTGGAAAGGAACGAGAAACTGCACACGTATGAGAACATGTTACACGGCCAGGGTGATTCTCAGAGGAATATTTATAGCCTAAATGTGTTCATTAGAAAACAAGTAATGAACAAGGCACATAATTCTAAAAGAACCCAGAAAATTAAGTAACATAAAACCAAAGAGAGAAAGAAATGTTTACAGACCAAAACACACATAAGTGAACCAGAAAACAAAACAGTAAGCTTGATTAGTATAAACAGGATCTTTTTTTCTTCATGTTCTTTATAACAAAACATTTCAAACCTGTCCCAAAGCGGGTTAGTGTGATAAACGTGCATGTAACCACCTAGCTTCAATAATGATCAACTCAGGGCCAATCTTGTTTCATCGATACTCCACCCACCCACTACCACCATCTCTGTGTTATTTTGAAGCAAATCTCAGCTATGACTTCTCATCTGTAAAAATTTCAATATTTCAAAAAGAGTGACTTTAAAAAAATATATAACCACATACTTTTATACCTAAAAAGAAACAATGATTATCTCTTAATGTTATCAAATATCCAGTCAGCATGCAAATGTCGCTGTTTGTTAAAATTTGTTTTTAAATATGAGTGACATATAATATTAGATTCAGGTGCAGAACAGAGACTAGACATTTATATACCTTTTTACTTTTTTTTTTTTATTGTTTAAAGTATTACATATGTCTCCTTTTCCCCCAACTGACCCCCCCGCCTTTTTACGGTATATTTTTAACAGATGAATTATTCAAGTCAGGACTCCAAACAGATCTATATGTTACCTTTAGACCACTTCATAAGTATCGTGAAGTTCCCCCTTTCTATCTTTCTTACTCTTTTTGCAATTTATTTGTTGGAGAATCCAGATTGTCATGTAGAGGAAAACTCTCTGATTTGTGCAGATTTTATCTCCAATGTGTTGATATGTCCTTCTGTCTCCCCTATTTTATATAAACTAGTGGTTAAAAAGCTGGTTTTAGGAAAAGATCAATAAGGACAGACAATTTTTTTTGGAAAATATGATAAGAGAAGAAAAGATTTTTAAAAAGTAAGAATGAGGCCCTAGCTGGTTTGGCTCAATGGATAGAACGTCGGCCTGCGTTGGTCCTGGGTTTGATTCCGGTCAAGGGCATGTACCTCAGTTGCAGGCTCTTCCCTGGCCCAGGCCCTGGTCGGGGCTCATGCAGGAGGCAACCAATTGATGTGTTTTTCTCACATAGATATTTCTCTGTGTCTTTCCCTCTCTCTTCTACTCTCCCTAAAAATCAATGGAAAAATATCCTTGGGTGAGGATTAACAAAAACAAACAATAAAAAAGTAATGAGAAAGGAAGCTATTGATAAGGAAGAGATTAAAATATATATAAGAATACTATGCACAACTCTATACCAATACTTTGAAAATCTAAATTAGCTCTATCCAATAAATATATAACACAAGCTACAAATATATCACATATGTAGTTTTAAATTTTCTGGTGTATACATTTAAAAAATGAAACAAGGAACTGTAGAAGGTTACCCAAAACATACCATGATGTGATTATAGAGGCATACTTATAGGATCAAATGGTATAAATACAGATGTAACAGGACAATAAAAAAAGAACCTGGCTATGCTGATCAACTGAACGCAGTCTCCGTGTCATTCCTTCTTCGCCGACTCCATCCACACCTTTGGGAACCCCTGGGCCTGCTGGGGTTGGACCCCAACAGTTACCATATTGGACAGCACAGACTTAGATAAATACAAGTTATTTTATGAAAACTGACTTACGAAGGAGTTAAAAATGTGAATCAATCAATAACCATAACCAATAACCAGAAAGTAATCAATGATGAAACGCTAAGAAAAGATATCTGGCTCAGGTGGTTTTATGGGGAGGTTTCTCAAAACCATTGAGGAACAAATCATGTCTATGTTATATAAACTGTTTCAAAGCAGTTCTAATTTAGAAATATCATAGGAGTGCTATATGGATAATCTTCCGTATAATTAACGAATTTAGGGATGAAATCATTGCAGCTCTGAAGAGCTGAGAAGGAATCAGGCAGGAACTTAGAGGAGTAACTGGTTTGCATTGAGGGTTGGGGAACAAGAGAACGCCTGTGAGTATAGTGGTTACCAGAGGGAAGCGGGGGAGAGGGCAGGTAGAAGAGGGTAGGGGCGGGGGGTAAACGGTGATGGAAGGAGACCTGACTGGGGGTGGTAAACACACAATACAATACAGATGGTGTATGATAGAACTGTACACCTGAAACACATAATTTTATTAGCCAATGTCACCCATTAAATTCAATAAAAAGATTTAAAAAAAGATGAGAACTTCTCCAAACTCACTTTCAAAGTACACATTTTTATTCACATTAACAAGGTATGAGCATGGCACTGGGCATTATCAGAGAGAGAGAGAGAGAGAGAGAGAGAGAGAGAGAGAGAGACCTTAGTCGGTTCTGCTCAGTGGATAGAGCCTCGTCCTGAGGACTGAAGGGTCCCAGGTTCAATTCAAGTCAAGGGCACATGCCCGGTTTGCGGGCTCAATCCCCAGTAGGGGGCGTTCAGGAGGCAGAAGATCAGTGTCTTTCTCATCATTGATTTCTATCTCTCTCCCTCTTCTTTCCTCTCTGAAATCAATAAAATATATGAGAGAGAGAGAGAGAGAGAGAGAAGAAAATAGCTCAGTAAAAGCGGGGAGTGTAACAGAAAGCTCACCATGGAAGGAGCTGCATACAGGACACTTTATTTAAACCGGGAAATTAAGAACCAGAAGCTTTTCACTTAATATGCAGACACATCTGGAGATCCACCGTGAAGCTGTGATGAGTCCCCAGGGGCCCTTTCTCCCAGGCTCCGATGCTGGCCGGCTCTGGGTCTGGTCCGGGAGCGCCTGGGAAGCAGGAAACGAACCGGGAAGCCGGGG